TATGGAAACGATGTCTCTCATTAACATCCCATTAACTACTATTATCGGAACACCATGGTCTTATTATATTTGTTTAGTTGATTTTTATATATATAAGAAAAGAATATTGATCAATTGATTTTTAAATCTTGAATTTTAACTAAAGATAATTTTTTTTATATTGACGATATTTGATTATTTAAATTTTACTAATGAAAATGAACATGTCGTGAGTTCGATTCCAAATCCGGGTATTCTTACATTTTGTCACAAAATATGACAAAGAAATGTGACAAGCTTTTATAAGTGATGATAATTTTATTATTAATACATAAATAGAGATAAAAAAAAAGCTACAATATTTGCTATGGCGAATATTTTCAATATTTTTATTAATATTAGCTATCGTTTGCAGGTTTGGGACTTGTCCACCACTTTTTAATATATGGAAAAGAATTCCGTTCACCCTAACTGAGAGGAGGTCCGTTAATGTTTACTATGATTAAACTGGAAATATGTTTTATTATAATTCGTTTAATTTGCCATTCCCCATGACGAATGTAAGGATTTGTTAGTAGCCAGTTATATTTTTAAAATATTTCATACCAAATAAGCTAGTTAAAACTGTATAATTTAATATGGTAACTTTAATTACTAAATTATTAGAATTAGCATCCATAACCTAATTGTTAATGTATTTATTTTCTTTGATACCAGAGTGCCCTGTTTTTATTTATCTTCTTGAGATATTTCCATATATTATCATTTAGGAATTGGTGGCTGAGAATTGGATTAGTCTATCTCCACTTTTTGTAATTTTACAAGAAAGCAACTTTAAAAATTAAATTTATATTGTCGAGTTTGTAAATAGAATACTATAACTATAAAAAATTGATTAATGTAAAAAATGACAAAATGTGAAAATAACATAATTATCAGGCGACAAAATATTAAATAAACATTCATTTAGAAATTATAAAAGAGATTTAGAATCTACCAGATATATTCTTAAACGATTTTAAAACATAAATCATTCCCTTTATTGATTTCAGCGTTAGATAAACTGATTGTTCTTGTCTTAAGCCTTATAGATATATTGGATAATTCAAATAGAACATCATACATTAAGGCAAGATATGATAAGAACTATTTGATAACCGAGTAGACAGCCCGTTAAATTTTGCAGTTTGCTAGAATTTGCTGAATTTTTGGAATGCGTATATAGGACCTAGCATAGTTAGTCCAAACTACCTTAATTATATCTAGAATTTAAAAATAGGATTATCATAAGAAAATACCAATGTCGATTTTACTTAAATAACCAAGGCGGGTTTATTTGAAATGTACGACTACATGATTATACTACCATATTGTTTATAAAGTATTTTATGTTTATTTCATGATGAAAAATATATATGCTAAAATAGTATTATAAAAAAAATAATCAAATTTTTCGGGGACATGCTTAAATCCCCCCCCCCCAACCCAACTACATCTCTGTAATATATAATCTTACCTTAAACAAAAATGGTTTGTTTAGCTGGCTAGTTTGTAGATTGTCCAGCTAGTTTTTTATTACATTATATAGCTAGTTTACAAATTAGCTAAGAGAGTCCTTTTAGAGTAAAAAAATCTAGATAACACTGCTTTCAATTTCTTTACTCTATATACAAATCAAATTTATTAAATTAAATTTATTGAAAGATTGTCTAAAATATTTTTATTTTCGGCGAACCAGCGTTTATAAAGAGATATATAAAAATTTTTTATTATTATTTAATTTAAGTGAATTTTAGCAAATTTAAGTGAATTTTAGTAAATTTAATTGAATTTAAGTGAATTTAAGAAATTTTAACTTACTATATTAATTATTTTATAAATTTTAAATTCACTTAAGTAACAATAAAAAAACGATTTTATATATATCGCTTAATATAGGTTAGTTTTTTGAAAATAATAAGCAACATTTTAGACCAATTAATTGTATAGTTTTAAATTTTATTACTATAAACTATAATCTAATGTTGTATATTGTTAAATTAGACCCGTGAAACATGATATAAATTCATAAAATACTACAAAACCTATTTTTATAAAAAAAAGTTTCATAAAACAGAAAATGATTTGTTAACTAGCTGACTAGTTTGTATATTAGCTCAGTGACCCCTTCAATGGGGGGGGGGGTCCGAAGCAACTGCTTCAGTAAATTTGAGTGGGAGTACTTTTTTTGAAAAAATTTTTTTTTTTTATTATTTAATTCTTTTACTGTTTTGTTACATCCATCATGATCAAGTGATTTCTGGTTTATAAATGTAATAATAACCCCCCCCCCCCCACAACTTAATATTTAATTTAATATATATTGACGGAAATTTTTCAATTATTTTTTTAAGCATAATATGAATAGATAGTAGTATTCATATTTTAATTTAAATATCTTATATTCCCTCCCTCCCTTTTCTTAGGAATCAAATGATCCCACCAATATTGTTGGAAAAAGAATTGACAAATTTATAATTGATAAATATCTAGTAGGAGCTCTTCAACCTACATATTATTTATTCCCCGAAGATAATAATAATAGAAACAGATCCTTAAATGAAAGCTTTTATGAAAAAACTAATATTGACAATAGCAAAATTGCTAGAAATTGGATTACTTAAAATGAATAAAGTTTTTTGCTTAACATGTCTCTTATTTGGAGGTACACACACAAATTCAAAATGGATATGTGAAGGTCTAGATAAATGGCAGAATATTAATCGTGATATTATTCTGCAACTTCACAGGCACATATGATGGCCGATTATGGAAGGCTTTCTCAGAATAAAAATTCGATATTAAAATTTATAACACCCCAGAAAGAATGTGTAGATAATTAACCGTTTTATCATAAGAATTATAATAAGATGTTTAGATTATTTAATATCTCGTAACCAAGCCTTCTGGTGGAACAGGCAACAAGAAGACAATATGATGGCCCTTATTAAACTTATTGCAGATTCTGAACCTGTACTAAAAATGTATATACAACAAAATGAAGAAAGAAAAAGGGATTAAAAACGAAATTATATTCAATCTATTATCATATAATAACATAAATATTCTCATTGAAACCAATAAAAATATGGTTATAAAAAAAATTCAAAATGAGATTACATATAACAGGTGCTTTTCAATCATAGTTGATGCACATATGATGTTTCGAAATTAGCTTTGATAGTAAGATAATAGTGAGACGCCGAAGCCCGTTGAAAGACTGATTGACATATATTGTACGGGAAATACCACAGGTCTCGATATTAAGCATAATATAATATCCAAACTCGGCTCGATGAATTTACCCCTTGAATTTCTAGTTGGGCAAAGTTATGATGGCGCCTCAAACATGAGTGTAAGAATCAATGGTGTGCAGGCCTTGATAGAGCAGGCGCCAAAGGCAGCTTTTATTTGGTGCTATTGTCATCGATTAAATTTAATCATTGTTCAATTATGCTAATCAATTAAAGAATGCCAATCAATTAAAGAACTTCGAAATTTTCTAGGAATACTAGAAGAGATTTATATCTATTTTAATGGTGTAAAAAGATATGAGGTACTCAAAAAATGTCAGTGTAATGATCTAAAAAAATCTCAACGATTTCTACGCATACTCGGTAATAGTACCTTATTTATTTAGATTTAAAATGTTTTTTCATTTAGAAGCTGGCTATCGTCATATAACTATTGTAAAAATTTTTCTACATTATGATGCCTTGAGGGCAGCTTGAACAAATTTAAGGATTCTGAAGATCCTGCCACTTCCACTATGGCTAATGCTGCCTTTAGAATGGAAAAATTTGATTTTATCTTATCACTTTGTGTTTTGGATAAAATATTGTTGATAACAAGTTTGGCTTGTACAAAATTGCAAACCATTTCGAAGGAATCAAATTCAATTGGCAAAAGATTGCTTGATTAATTTGAGAAGTATAATATAAATTATTGTTTTAATTATTATTTAATCTAATAGATAATATCACTGAATTTTTGGATGTTTTTTCAAAGGCACAAGAATTTATGAAGGAGAGAAATCTACCTTTTGATTTTGAAAGTTCTAGACTTCAAACATTACAATCCAAAAAGGAGAGGTATATATACTTTCATCATTAAATATAAAAAAATTTTTAGCTTTAAAATAGGTGTGTTTTATGCTGCACTTCCTACAACATTATGTACTGCCGAAAGAGTCATGAGTAAAATTAAATTAATTAATTCGTAGTACTATGAAAGATTCATTTCTCAATAATTTAATCATATTATCAATGGAAATAATTTATTTAAACAATTAAATATTGATGAAATTATAAATTCGCTTTCTCTTCCCCTAATTTATCTAAATTATTAATTTAAAAATATTATTTATAAAGTATATTTTTTTTGCATTTTATTTATAATATATATTAAAAATTGATGCAATAAAAATTATTTTTGAAATTTATGGGTGTCATAAAATAATTATCATTTTTTCGAGGGGGGGGGGATACTTTTCAAGTGGGTACTTTTCAGGGGGTACTTGTCAGGGGGGTATTTTGCTTAATTCGCTCAAAAAGTGTAGGGGCCACTGTATTAGTTATATAATTATTAAAACGACTAAAGGTTGTATATTAAGCATTAACTGTAACATATATATATATAGTTCTTTTTAGAAGAAAAAAAATTATTAAAAAAATAATTTGCTATTGGTATTCCTACCAAGAACTTTCTAAAATTAAAATCAGAAAAGATGCTAATAGAAGGAATTTTATTTTTTGATAAAACTCTCGCTCCATTCGTTGTATCAATCGTAGGCAAAAAAAGAAATGAATCCCATATGTCCTCTAAACTAAAGCAGAACAGCAGATCGGCTAGAATGATATGTTTTTTGTCCTTAATAATTATCCCGCTCTTTTCCTGTGACACACTCAGTTTTATGTTATTTTATTTTAATATTAAGATCTGATACGTAGCAGTTATAAAATGATAAAATAAATGAAATAAACCTGTAATTGATGTAGCACTGATAAAGGTAACGATTACTAGATCGGCTAGTGACAAATTGATTATGAATAAATTTAGCGGTTTCCACAATACCTTATTGGTGTATATGGCTCCAATGATCTAAATATTTAAGAACAAAAAAATGATATAATATAATAAAATCATATATAGGAAGTTGTTATAGATTAAATAATTTCTGTCAAATTATCAATAGCCTAGAGCCCGGAATTTTCAGAATGGAGTCAAATCTAATAACCAGATCAGATTTGGGGACGAGAATACTAATATCTAATATACAAGATCCTTTTTTTATCTTGTATTTTATATCTTTTTAAACATTATAAAAATGATATATTTTAACTTCCTCATTTTTTTCATTTTTTTCTCATCTTTCCTAACTTTATATTTTAAAATTGATATTATTTTGGGCAACTTTATTTTTGTAATGTAAATTAAATAATTCAATTGACTCCATAAAAGGTAAGCTTGATTCTGTCCTTAAGCGTGAAAGATAAATCAAAGAAGGTACTATAAAAATAAATGAATTTCCATAACAGAGTTATTAAAGTATCATAACATATAGACTATACTCCCATAGGAGAGGAAAACTAAGAATTCCGCTTTTGGCTAATTTGCAAGTTTTTGTCATTATCATTATAAGCTAAAAAAATAACCTACAACCCCCCCCTCCCCCCAGTCATTAGGTCATATTAGTTTATATAAAAAATATTAATAGATAGACGATCTCTTATAAAACTCAGATGGTTTTCAACTTGATATATTATTATATCTTATTAATAAGACTAGAGATGAGACTATCGGAATTTTAAAACTCTAAAAATTATTATTTTGAATAAAAATTATATTTCTAACTATAAGGGTAGCAAAAGTGGACACGTTCCTGCTTTAAAATTTACCTGTTTTCATAAATATTATTTTAAACTAACATATAAAACTTATATACCCTCATCCCCTTCTCCCTTAAAAAATTTAAACAACATTTATCATTAAAATAGATAGTTTGACAAAAAAGATAAATAAAAGTAAATTACTTATTAAAATAATTTTTATAGTTGAAAATTTCAGGAAAAAAAAAATTAATAAAAAAAGCGAAAACCTCATTATATTTTTTAAAAAGATGTAACATAGCTAAAGGCCTTCAATAAGTAGACCAGAGACTTCCAATAAAATTAATAGAGGGCCTCACCTAATAGTACTCCCTCCCTCATTCTTCACTCACAGTTAGCACGAGGCGAAGTATACAAGATATGCTGTATTTTCTTATATTTCACCGCAAATAATTTAAATACAGAATAAGTCACCTCCCCCTTCCCCCTCCTACGGCATATACTTTAAAAAATTAAATTTCTAACCTTATCTTAATTATTATAATAAATAATATTGGACTCATATTATTGGTCCAATAATCATAACGACATAACTAATAAGAAACAATGGTACCTTATGTGTGAAAGGAGATAAAACTTTATAAAACCCCTAAATATTTTGTTTTGCTAATTTAAAAAAAAGATTTGAGCTAACGACGTTACTGATAAAATAATATCTTTTCAAAATTTATTGTTCACGTTACATATTCTATTACTAAGCTATTCTTAATCCAGTAAAATTTCATGATAGAATGAATCATCTTGCGTTAAAAGTAATTTAAAGATTGAGCTTAAATGCTCATTTATGGATATCATAATCTATTTCTTCTTCTATTTCTGTAAATTTTATTAATTTCTTCTTCCATTTAAAAGTGCATCAAGATATTATAAAAAAAATATTAATGAATAAATGTGCTATTTTCTCATAAATTTTTTTTAAAGAAACTTATCGATCATAAATTAAACTTTTTATATTTTCTTTTAGCTGTTGTCCGCTTTTTTTGCAAGACTGACCTTAAAATATAATTAATCAGATACTTTAATTATGTCCTCATAAATTCTAACTTTATTAATCATATAAAAAAAATTAATTTACCGCGATATTTCCCAAAGGTCCGATCATAATACATACTGATAGCATAGTTAAAAGTCCAATGGTCAAACTTCTGTGTTCCACAAATGAATCATAATCCTTATAATATTCGGCTAGAAAACTGTAGTTATAAACGTAATTTTTGCTGAATGCCACGTAACGCATTTGGAGGTTAATAACAAAATTTTAGAATTTTTTTGCAAAACAGTTATTTTTAAAATCACATTAAAATTCTTTTTTTCTAATTTAATACATTTTATAAAGTAAGGATTCAATAATTTTATACAATTAGTAATTTATCTTATTCTTATATTTTTGAAATTATTTCTATTTTAATTATATATTTCAACAAAAAAAAATATGATTTTGACTTTTTATATTATCATTTTAATAAAAAAATGATATTAAATTTTTTGGTTTTTTTGTCAAAATGTTATAGGATCACTTAAAAAAAATATACATTCTAATTATAATATATATGTCGTATTGGGGTTTGTAATCTATAGGATTCGGAGTCTTTATTTCAAAGCATTTACTGAGGGCGACTTTTAAATTTAGAAAATCTCATTCGACCTTGAATCTATACAGTACATGTAGATTGCCCGCATTTAGGAAATTTTACGGTTAACTTTTAAACTACCCTTACTCCGCATTCACAGTTAGCGCGAATTGTGAATTTGTGGTAACTGTGATTGCAGGGTAATCCCTAAAAAAAAGATATTTAAAAACGTTAAAAAATAATTTTATTGGGAAAATTTCAATTATATTTTGAGTCATCATTATAAGTAAGAAAATGACATTTTTAATTTATAAATAAATATAGATATTTTTATATTATTGGAATCCTCAATCACAAATTTGTTACCTGTTTTCGTAAATATCATTTTAAGCTAATAAAAAAAAATTCCTACATACACCCCCCCCCTCTCTCCCAAATATTTCTGCATTTATCACTACAAAGAAGATTTTGAAGGAAATATTTGTAAAAGTTAATAAATTTAAAATAACGACTATAATTAAATTTTTTTAGAAATAAGGAATTTTTATAATAAAAATGTGAAAACCCCAATATAGGCAAAAAAATTCACTTCCCATTATTTAAAACATTTGATTTTTTTGGTCCATATTTATTTTAAAAAAATTTGACCCAGATAAAAAAATTTACAACTCGGGTTAATAAAAATAATTGTTTTAGGTTTTAAAAAATATATACAATTGACATTTTGCCGTTTACCTTTTAAAATTAATAAAAATAATTTCTATTAAAAATTGTTATTATTTTGAAGTAACAAATTTATTTCTATAGAGGCCCAAACCTTTCTGATATCTATGAACAAAATCGCGAGGCTTACATAATATTATTTTGGCTAAAATCTAAATCCATTTTTAAAAATCGACCCGAATAGGACTTTTTAACAACCCTAGTACCAGATTATTAGTTTAAACAGTGCTCAAGCATCATACTGCAATTCAACAATAACTTTTTCGAAATTGAGATGAATTTTTATCGATCTCAAAAATTGAAAAATTTAATATATGAAACTTCGATTTTTTTAAAAAAATTCTCATGTTGAGAATACCAGTCTATTTAGCATATTATATATTGAGTTTTAGCTGGCCACTAAATCCATAAGGAGCTTCTAAGTGTTGGCATTTGTTACTTTGCTCTAAATGCTAATTTTTTAGTATTTTCTATAGTAAATTTATAGAAGGGACATTACCATTCAAGTAATCATACCTGAATACATCTCTTAATAGAATATAAATGCAGTTTAATCTAAAATTAAATTCTAAGGGCCTAGGTCGTTATTTGGATACTTAATTGCTTTTTAGCATAAGTTAAAAGGTTTTTGAACCGGGTTCACTCTATTTTGTTTTGTTTTAAAGTACGAACTAGTGTTTGCAAGTCTGGTTCGATCAGGTCCTTTTTCTAAAATGAGACTGGAACGATGGGCCGTTAAGTCAATTAAAACCATACCATGGGATCATCGATCCGGTCCCATCTAAAAAATGTTTTTTTATTAAGCTATAAAAGTTTTATTCTGCATTAAATTTATTAAAAATGAAAAGTGTTACATTACTAATATTTTAATTATATCATCAAATCATTTTTATTATATTATACAATACAAATTACCCTATTAAATTAAATTACTTGACGAATGAATTAAATGAAATGGAAGATAAAAATTACACGATGAATGAGATATTATAATTAGACATTAAATAATCATGTTTTATGTGTTCATGTAGGTGTACATTAACTAAAAAGCAATTCATAGTAAACCTTCACCTTCTTTAATCGGTCTTAAGTTGGACCGCAAGGGAACATCGGACCGTGTTGTCAGACCGGGTCGTCCCGTCGGACCCAAGAGTCAGATGAGACCGAAATGGACCTGACCCACATGAATTATAAAGTGATGTTTATTCGCAGAGCCCTGCTAATATACCCCCCCCCCACGCAAAATCTGTCCAAGCTTACATGAATTAGGTCCTCCTTTTTGCAATAAATTATAGTAAAATAGAAATAATTTGTAATAAATAAGTGACTGAATTAGATAAATTATTATTTTTTTTAAAAATTACAATTTATTTAAATGTGCAAGAATTTTTTGTCCTAAGATAGTCAATTGCCTTTTGCACGGGCCTGTTCATGCAAAAGTATTGCTAGAATTAATAAATCTAATAATACGTATGATAGAAGTAATATATTATATAATCATTTTGAATAGTTTGGGGTCATTTTAGAATATGAAGTAATCCAAGAATTAAAAAATGTAATAAACCCCATGATAATATATTACAAAATTCAACGCCCTAAATAGTTAGGGAGTCTATATTTTAGAATTGAAAGACTCATAATAAAAGTAAAATTGTGCATCAAGTTCGAAGTGATTACTAAAATCTTCAAGTATTTTGATGTAGTGTTTTTATTTATATAAAATACTTCAAGCAAGAATTAGTTCTATCTTATTTTAGTTAAATAGATAATACATTAAACAATCAACAGTATTATTTCCATGCCAAATAAAAAATGACAATTTTCAGCTACATGTATGATATTCAGGTGCGTAACTAATGAGGGGGATAAGGGGAAATTTCCCACCTCCCCCTTCAGTCGCAAATTTGCTGTTCTCGTAAACATCATTTTAAGCTAATAAAAATTTCCTCTCTATAGATCACCCTCACCTCCTATTCCCAAAAAATGTATATGATATACCATCATAAGGAAAAATTTGAGAGAAAAATTATTAAAAGTTAATAACTTAAAATAATGGCTATAATTCAATTTTTAGAAAATTTTAATAAAAAAAGTGAAAACCCAAAGTTATTTTTATTTAAATCTAATATAGACAAAGGCCTACAATAAGTGGACCTAAAGATCTCCAATAAAATATATGGGGAAAAATTCACCTAATTGCCTCCCCCCTAGCAAAATCCTGGATACGATTATGATGTTACCAATGTGATGTAGTTGAGCATAAAGTCTAATTCCGGTAGATAGGATTATGTTAGCCTAGCAATTATGGCTATAAATAAATCGGCACTTCTTATCCCGCTCTAACGCCAAATTAATAGATATATTTCCCCATGATTAAAGATCAGAGAAACTTCAACAATAAGTCGTGATCCTATTACTAAAAATTTCCAAGACAATCATAGTTGACGACTAGATCCCTTCATCCTCTAAAAGTTAAATATACCAATCTAAGCTGACACTGATATCATTCTCATGAAATAAGGGTACTTAAACTTATCTCACATATTTTATAAATAAAACAGAGACCTGCAGAAATAATTTGCACGGCCCGGCCCGGATTTTTTTCAAAAAATTTTTTCGGCCCGGCCCGAGATTTATATTTTTAGGGCCGGCCCGGCTTTTTTTATAAAGAAATTTTCAGGCCAGGCCCGGATTTTTCAAAAATATATTATATTTATTTTTGATTTTTATAACTAATTATGGTGATTTCAAATATTTGGTTTTAAAATATATGGCCCGGCCCAGATATTTTTTTTAAAAAAATTTGCAGGCCCGCCCAGGGTATTTTTAAAAAAAAAATCCTTAGAACTATCTCTTTTTTTTCTTAAAACTTAGATTAAGTATATCAAATTAGAATTTGAAATTATCAACGTTTCTTACATTAATTCAAAACTTTCAACAAAATTCTAAGTTTGAATGGCGTTAATTAGTCTTCTAACACTCAAGCAATAATAATATCCATCCGACTGGTGAAAACCACCTGACATTAACCTATGTTAAGATTTTTTGCCCAACTAAAATTTGTAATTGGCTAGAGTATCTTAATATCAAAATGTGGAAAAAAATACTTGAAATGTGAAAATAAAACAAATGAGCCTCGAAATTTTGTCATAAACATAATAAAATATTTGTGTCAAAAAATGCCTTATTATATATACGGGAGCTACAAAATTTTTAACATAAATTGATTAGCAAAGAAACCATAAAAGTCAAAAGAAGTTTACGGATCTCAGTAGGTACCGTGAAATCATTTAACCAGGTTCTGGTTTAGTTTTCGGAATATAGAAAAATAGAATTTATTTAAAAATATCAGAAATCCTATTTTATTGATAAAAATAATTTATCATCATAAATCAGTTGTAATTTTAATAATACAAATTTAAAAAAATATTATATTTTTGTATTTTAAATATCTTACTTTAAGCATATTATCATAATCTCCGAAATATTATCATTGAGACTTCCATGGAAATCTAGCTATATATTTTTGATGAACACATAATAATTAGATATATATCTATATAATGTACTTGTGTTGCTAGAACATCTAGAAAAATCTTTAAAAGCAATTTTGGATAGAAATTTATATTATATGCATTTTAGTAATTTTGGATAGAAGTTAATTATATATGCAATTTTATTATTCCCATTAAAAACATTCATAATAAGGAATTGGTTGGGGTCTGTTGACTTTCATGTTCTGTTAATTTTATTTTCCTAAAAAAGACCTCCTGAAATCATCATAATTATCAGAAGAATAAATTTAGAAAAAAGTTTTGTACGAGTTTGGATTCAGCAAAGCCTCGAGCTTTCGAAGGATCCAAGGTTCGGGTTCAGATCGATCCTGATTTTTTATTGCATTTTAGATTTCTAGAAATTTTTTTTTGAAATTAAAATCTCCTAC